AGCCAACGGAGAAAAGAAAAAAGATGGGGAGAGGCAGGATGGAGATATAGGGAAGAACGAGGGAAAAGGGGAGATTGTTTTGCCCTGTCGGTTGGGGTGGGATGAAAGGGAAAGAAAGAGAGAGAGAAACGAACGAACGAACGAACGAACGAAGGATAGAGCGTACAACCGTGGAAGCGAAGGGGCCACGAGAAAATAACGTCTTAGACGGAGGGCGAGAGAGGGAACGAGTAAATGGAAGCAAGGAGCGGCGCGCGGCGAAAGAGGGAAAGAAGGCTGGAGGGGAAAGGGGATGGCGAGAGGGGGCGAGTCGAGAAAGAAGCGATGAAACGACCGAGAGACAAGAAAAAGAAGGGCGAAGGACGGCGAGGGAGACGGAATGACGGTCGTGAAACGCTCGAGAAGGGCGAAGAAACGAAGAGAGAGGGAGAGAAAGAGAGAGGGTAGGAATTGAGAAGAGAGCGGGGGTGAAGGGGGAGGAAGGGGGGGGGAGTGAAACACGAAGAGCGAGCTCGTCTACTCCGCGAATGGCAGAGAACGTGGCGTGGCAGGGAGGCGAGGTGAAATTGGACACAAAAAGCTCGAAGAAAAATTGAGATGAATCGCGAGAGGGAAGATGGAAAGGCGGTCTCTCTCCCTCCCCCCCCGCACAAAGCGGGGAAAAACCCGTGCTTCTTCGGGGTTGCGAAAGAAAACGCGAGCGTAAGGGATAGAAACCAGTCGCTAATGCCAGCGCTTCGCTTTCTTGATTTCTCTTCTCGATAGTCTCTCACGCCGTGTTCTGCCTTTATTACATTTTTTTTTTTTTTTTTTAGGATAGACGTAAAAAATTTATATTTGCAGTGCTTTTCTCATATATTTTCTCTTTCATTTTTTTCATTATAAAATTAATATTTATTCCGTGTGTATCTTGTATTTTCTCTTCCTTTTTTCTCCAATTACCAGCGTTGCATTTTTCAATATCGCAAGTTTTATCCGAATGTAAGCGTTCTTATTAAATTTATGACATACAATTGTCATAGTTGTAACGTAGACACTTCTTCTATCAGCATATCCACGGAAAATACGATCTTTCAAGATGAAGCCCACTCTTTCGCGCGCATCAATTTGCAGCTCTCAGGAAAGCGGTGGCTTTCTAACGCGAAAGATTAGCGTGCGAGCTAAACCGGGCTCCCCCTTCCAATCAACGTTTTTATTATCTTCCTCCACCGCGTGTCGCGTCGAGGAGACCAGACCCGTGTTTCCTTTCACCTCTCGCGCTTTCGTTGGGAAACGAGCTGGCTCCTTCGCTCGTTGCGTACCGTCGTCCACGCTTCTTTGGCACCCACCGCCTGCGGCTTATTCCTCTCTCGTCGGGTTTCAGTGAAAGTGACAGGAAAATCGCGCGACGGGGCGACAACTCCCCGAAGAAACTGGGCGAAGCGTTTTAGATCGCGATGCGTGCAGCGCGCGTCAAAGGATGCACCGACGTCGAGAAAGCGTATCGATGAATGCGATCGATCGGCCGCGTCGTATTTTCCACCCAATAGCATCCAGACGATTTGAAAATGTTTCATACCAAACGCTCAAAAGTCTAGTCTGACTTTGGTAATTATACCAGTTTTTTCTTTCCTTCACCCATCACGACGGAATATATTGTATACATATACAGGGTGTCCGGTAACTAATGGATACCAATGATTAAGGGCGGATTCTCTGGCCAATTTGGAGACGATTTTTCCTTAACAAAAAAATGTTTTTGAGTTAGTTAGTTAAAGATACATAATGACAAATATTGGAAAGTTGTAAAAAATGATGACCTTTTTCGACATTTTTGCTGAGGAAAAATCGTACCCAAATTGACCAAAGAATCTACTTGTAATCGTTGGTCCGTTAGTTACCGGACACCCTGTACATATATATATATAGTTAGAAACGTTAATATTTTATTCATTAAGGAATATAATTTATGATGATAAGATTTGTATATAAGAGAGAATTTGTGCAGTTTCGCTCACATTTTTTATTTTATCAAATTAATTTCAGAGAGCGCTTCACATTTTTTACGTGTAGATGAAAATCCTACAAGCGTCCTAAATATCATTTGTATTATTGCTGGAGGAAAATTAAAAAATTGCAACAAAAAAAATATACTTAATGTCGTTAATGAATATAAATATTAAAAATCATGAATTTTCTCTGCTTTTTACGTATACACATACATATATTTGCAAAATTGTTTACCACTGTGTCGAGCTCATCTCACCGACTATCCCGTCTCACTCTGTTTCTTCACGTCGCGTTGCATCCGGTTTTCTCTCGGTTTCTCTCTCTTTCTCTCTCTCTCCGTAACCGCTTTAATTGCGCGTCTTTCTTCTTTCACTCAATTATCCTCCTGAAATCAACGCGGTTGGCCGTGTCGCACATGGAGCAGAAGCTTAACAATGTTTCTCAAAACTAGGTGAGCCACTTTTACGCCGCGATCGGATCGCGTTGGGTCTTTCCGGCTATTCGCCTGTGCAAATTATTCTGTCGCGGATAATGTATGGTAGAATCTAGAATAACCGTGGAACTTATTGTTGCAAGTATAACGCGGTGGTGGAATATAGAACGAACGATATAATCACATAAAAAGAATGCATAAAAAGGTGGTCCATTTTTTACAAAGTACTATTTAAATGACTATGTGAAGATCCCCTTCGTCTGCTAGAATTATTCTTTACGACTATTCATCTATACGAAATATTCTATCGCGAATAAAATGGAATACAGGGAAGGCAATATAACATAAAGCAGGCAAAACCATATCGTGTAATTATCGTTATACTTTTATCGAAAAGTTGTAAAAAGTTTGTAGAAACGAGCGAACTCGTTTTAGATATACACTGTTATTAAAAAAGTTTTTCAAATATATTTTTGATATAAATTTGATAGCAAATTATAAATTTTATTCGGCGTTATTTTATATAAAAATTTCACGGACTTTAATATATATGCAATTATTGCAAGATGCACCTGCTACGTTTTAAAGAAAGTGTAACGTTGCATTACGGAATATACATTTACGTTTCCTCATCTTTTTCTCTTATAATTATTTTCCATTAACTATATTGATAAAATACCTTGATAAGAGAACTCTAATCATCAAAAAAAACCACTTATTATTACCCATTTTAACAATAAGTTTGCCAGGTTTTTTTACGATGTCACAGTCGAATCACGCGCACGCGATAATTACGACACGATGGATTAGATAAATCGAGAAAGGAACAAAGAAAAAGCGGACAAAGTCAACACGCAAAGATCGATTATCGTGTCTTTCCTTTCCGTTATCACGAATTATCAGCGCGTCTTCGCGCTCGACTCGCCGGATAACCCAATTTCAATGATATCAATGTGCGCGCATACCTGTTACGCGACTCGCGTGTTATGTGCCGTGCGACACGCACGCATAAACTCGGGCACAAGGCAGTCCGATTTCGATTTCACGCGATAGATTTCAAAGTTTCTCCAAGTTTTGCGAAACGACAGCCAGCACACGCCGTTGCCTCGCTTAAAAATAAAGCGAGCGAAAAATATCTCCATTCAATTTAATCCCAATCCCAATTTAATTAATCCTGTATTTTGGGAGGCAGAATTGGACAGAGACACGCGGTGTAAATCGATCGATTTCACTTGCATAGAGGGGGTTAACATTTTTCCAAATTTCGTAATCGATCCTGAGAAGCACAGGAAAAGTTTTGAGCTTCACTCGAACTTGTCCGAACAACATCGCGTCTAAAAACACAAAACGTTTTAACGATGTCTAAAATACATCTTAATGACCAAGACGTTTTATATCCTGATTTTAGACGTCTTGTTGTCTGGGTAACTAACTTGAAGCAGTGGGACGATAATGCACCATGGAATGCTTCGAGAATTTCGAGCGTTCGCTATCAATCTCGGTATTCACCAGCTCGATTTGTCGCAATAATCGATCACACAGGTGGAATAGCACGCGCGCAAACATAATCTGCGAGTACGTATATAGAGAAGACCGAGCGAAGTAAGAGTATGTCACATGCACGCACACAAACACAGAGACGTGTTCGCGTACATTCACACAACAATCGTGCGTTACCTGCAAGCGTTCGCAGGTGCGTCTATGTCGAGGGCCCTCGAAGGATAGTTGGAGAAACGGCAGATGGTACAAACGTGTGGTATATAAAAGGGGTGATGAAGGGCGAAGGGATGTCGGGGAAAGACGAAGAGTTAGCTCGGGAGGAAAAGGAAAATACGTGTTAAAACGTACGCTTTATTTCGAATAAAAGCTACGATAATGGAATACACACGATATGATATAATTATAATACGAAGACGGATTAGAGAGACCGCGGGCATTTGATTAAATGAAATAATTGTTTTGTATACTCTATAGACAGTTGCGAGTCGAGACTTGAGAGAGTTGAAAGATTGAGAGAGTCGTCAGATATATACGATAGAGAGTTCGAAAGTGTTGAGAGATGAGGATCGAAGGATCAGAACTTAATAACGGTTAAGAGTCGAAAGTTGAGGATTGCAAACTAAATATTTACGCATTCGCATAAAATTTTCTGAAAAACAATCTTAATTAGACGAGTAGATTTTTCGTCACAAGACTCGCGTCTGCATAACACTAGAGTCCTGGTGCCGAAGACACCAGGAGTGAAGTGTCGCGAAGAATTTTCCAGGTGTTCTTCGAGCGGCGCGAGTGAGCGGATGAAAGGCAACGTCGAAACGAGCGCAAGGAGAGTCGGGAGAACGAGGGGGGAAAAGGAGAGAATATCAGATAGAGAAAGAAAGAAAGAGAGAGGGAGACGGAGAAGCCAGCAAAACGCGAGGCAAGCGCGAGCTTAAAGTTTCCCCGTTATCGGCGCACGTCTAAGCAACTGATAAAAGCGCGTGTTCCTACGGACAGATAACGGGCGGAATGGCCCGGTATAAAGAGTCACATAGATAGAGGCAGATAAAGCACGGTCCACGGAACAGGTGAATGTCGCGAACGGGGGCAGACCAACGCCCGAACCTCGTCGGTCTTCGCGAGTCTTGTGCCGATTCGACTCGCGATTCTACTCTCTTCTACGGGGGTTCGATCCCGGCAACTTTTCGTCCGGGAATACGCGGGAAAGTGCTCTCTTCTGGTTTCCTCTGTGTTATGTCCCGCGAAGACCCTTCTTCTTTCCTCCCTTTTCTTTTCCCTTCGGCGAAACCCAGCAGCACCCGGGGCACAACGAGAGAGAGATAGAGATCTCTCTCCCTTTCTCTTTACATCTCTTTTTTCCCCCTCTTGTTCTTCTCCTTCTTTCTCTTTTTCCGTTCACGTGTCACGTGTATATCTACCTTCCACCCTACCTATACTCTCTCGGCCGTCTTTTTCGTACGCTCTTGGATCCCGTCTCCCCCGGTACGTAAAACCTCTCGGAGATATCTTCTCCCGGCGGTCGTGGCGGAAAAAGAAACCCAATATTTCATGGAGACAGATCGTTATTGGGGCGTGCACTACAGGTACTATCCCGCTCTCTACGAATCGATCTCTCGTGGTAGGGGAAAGGATACTAGGACGGGGATGACTATCGCGGATAAGGGATAAACGCGGGAAAGGGGGGATCTCTTCTTGGTCTTCGTCGACGATGACTCTTGGATGAATCCGCCGACACGTAGAGAAAGCGGAAAAACACTCAATCGATCTTTTCCGTCTCTCTGTTGCAGCGGCGGCATGGCCGGGCAGCACTACTGCCTGCGCTGGAACAACTACCAGTCGAACATGACGTCCGTGTTTCACCAGCTCCTGCAGACCGAAGCCTTCGTCGACGTCACCCTGGCGTGCAACGAGGCCTCGTTAAAAGCGCATAAGGTAGGCCGTCCTGTGCGTGGAGAACGCGGAGAAGAAAGGAGAGATCGATCGATCGATCGCGCGACCGCGATTAACGGGGGTCAGTCCTCGATTTCAACTCCAATAAATTATTAGCAATTTCGCTCAATTTTCGATAAAAGGAATTCAATTATTTCATTACATTTTAGATTGAACGAGAGAAGAGAGGGAGATTTTAAATATGTAATCTAGCAATTTATAATTACAAATCTATATAAAATAATGCAAAATCGATCGATAATATCGCGGATTAGATTCATTTTCTTGGTGTCGATTTTTCGTGCATTCGTTTCAAAGATTTTTTCGTAGAATTTATCATGATAATCGTGGGACGATATAGAGTATTGGAAGATTTACTACAAAACAAATATTAATATCTATCACAATAAGATATCGAAAATATGTTCGATTAATTTTACTATGGATTGATATAGTAAAATTTATCTTATGGTGATAGATATTAATATTGTTTATTGTAGTAAATATTAATCAGAGAAACTCTCATAAAGTTCTTCCAATACCATATTGTCCCACGATTATCATGATTTTCAGGATAAATTTTAAGAGCAAATTCTCTGTGTGTTACAGTTTAATTAATTCGATCCTGTCTCGACTGTCAAACTCTCTCTTGTCAAAATATCGATACTTCAGCTTTGAATGATGAAAATTATTTGCGAGAGAATATTCCGTAGTTTCAAACAAATATGTCCGGGGAGGGAAAAGTAGAAAGATTTACGGTACGAAGATTTAAAGCGGATGGTTTTTTTTCGCGACACTCAATAAATTCACGCGTCGAGATTAACTGTGACTTTTAATCGTCTTTCTCTCTAATATATCTTCATTACGATACATATTTCTATGTGTGCGTAGGTGGTGTTGTCGGCCTGTAGTTCCTACTTTCAAAAACTTTTGCTGTCGAATCCATGTAAACACCCGACCATCATCATGCCGCAAGACGTGTGCTTCAACGACCTCAAGTTCATCATCGAGTTCGTCTACCGAGGGGAGATCGATGTCTCACAAGCGGAGCTTCAGGTAAGCGCGCGAGAATAAGGTCGATCTTTCGCCGATCGTCGCGGTCAGCGACGTCGCGAGCTGCGATTTCTCCCACGAGTCCGTTCAATAATTGAGATGGGAATTTGATTTTGAATTTGATGACGTCTCCGACAAATGTCGTGAAAAGAAGCGACATGCTGGAGAGTCATAAAATTATATACATATAATTATTTTCTCCGATTTCAAGAATGACACATTGGATTTTCCAAATAATATATTGTATATTGCTGTAACGATATATTGATTATTAGTACGATGCTTTTTAATGATGACATTTTTATCTCATCAAAATAGGAGTTTTATAAATTGTCATTGTTTTATAAAATTATGAAGAGTGTATATAATAGAACATAAATAGAGAAACTTGGGAAAAGCTCTAATGATGTCTCGCGAATATCTTTGTTTATCAGGGCAACATTTTGAATATGATCTATAATCATTGAAAGATACCAGCTCAAATGTGGTGGATTGAGATCGTGGTGACTTTTTCGACATTTATGTCGTTCACGTTCTTAAAATCTTTTTGCGTATTGAAGCGTCCCGAAACATCCGAATCTTTCATGCGTTACGATATTAAATAACGATGAACGCGATCGCTTCGTTTTATCTTATCGCTTACGAGCTATTACGACGTACTGTGAGTTGTACGTTGCTCGTATTATTGCATGATCTTTCGTCAAATTGATAGCGGTTACGAATGTGAATACAAATTCTACTATCTCTTGCTCATTTGCCTTCACGAATAATCTGATGGTGTATAAACGTTTCATGGTTGGTCTTTTTTTAAGCCACAAATATTTTGAACATATGTTTTTATATTACTTAATTCTATTTTAAATTTAATTAAAGTATGTTATGTTTTTCGAAAAGTCTTATTATTGAAAAAAGTTATTAATTATTTTTAAATTATTTTACACATCATTTAAAAATCACCAAAATTAAAAAATGGGAGTATAACATATGAATATATAATATTGATATATAATGTAATTATTTATTAATTATATTTATTCATTAAAAGAATAAAATAAAATAATCATACGCTAAACTATTATTAGGAGCAATTTAATTAAACAAAGGTGCTCGCAACAGAAATAATAAAAGAATGATATAAATAAAATATTCTCTTAATAAAAAATGTAATGAAATTCTTCACATAAAATATAATTTCTTCGCAAGTTTGATATGTAAAAAATATAAGATTAATTAATATGAGATTATAAGACAAAAAGATCTATTTAGTACATATACATATATATTAACCACTGCAATTTATTAACGACTCAATTTGTCGAGGAATAAGCAGGGGTGAAAGTACATCGGAATTGTCCGTGATCTTCTCAATAAATCATCGTCTAAACGCATTTTACAATATTCGCGAGGTGAAACACGTTCCGGGTGCTTTAGCTGATGTTCGAAACGGCAAGAAAGTCCGCGGTGAGAAACGAACACTTTCTCGACAGAAGAGAGGAATCTTCTCTCTAGTTTCTTGAGACAATGCTATTTTATCGCATCTGACATGGTAACTCCCAAAAGTACAAATATTTTAAAAAGGCTTAATACAACCTCGAGAGAGTGCATTCTTCAAGTATATAAAAAGAATAATTAATGCAAGAAGAGAGCGTACAGTTAGATTCTCGATAATAAAATTACAGCAATCCTGCGAAAAATGCATTACGCGATACTTTATAGAATATTTATCGAAATTTAATAATTTTTATCAATCAGGTATATAATATCCCTAATAACAGCTTAGCAAAGACGTTCAGAAAACATTCAGAGGACATCCAGAAAATATTTTACATTCTCTAGATGTCTCCTGAATATGTATGCTGTTAGGGACATATATCTGATTGACAAAAATAATTAAATTTCGATAAATATTCTATAAAATATCGTATAATGCATTCTTCGGAGGATCGCCATAATTTTATTATCAAGAATCTAATATAAACTTGCATTAATGATTCTTTAGGTAATATATAAATTGACAATTTCTATATTTTTCCAATGGTACCGCGCCCGCATAAGCGTACCGATCGCGGAAACACTCAGCCGTTCACTTTTCAGCGTCCGCCAAGAAAGTAATCCTTGGCCATTTTCTACCTGACGTGAGCAGGAGCTTATCGACGCGGTCGCGCGCTACTTTACCGACCTCCGCTCGCGCCGCGTCGGTAAGCGACTGCCGCTCCTTACCTTCCGCTCCTCCCTTTTATCCGCGCGGCCGCGGCGTGGCTTCGATCCGCCGCCGCCAGGGGCGCCGCGCGCGCAAGTGCACAGAGTGCGCGTTCGAAATGCCCGCTCGACGTTTCGCCGGCCGGCCGGCACGCGCGGCTTTGCTTTTTCGCGGAGTCTCGTGATATCGCGCGCCGGTTTACTCGTCCCCGTCCATCCGTCCGCGTTCGTATCCGGTTTTTTATCGCGTCGCCAACGTGCGTGCCTCCAAAACTTTTCCTCCTCGTGCATCATCTCGGACGTACTCGCTCGCTCGTGCGCGTTTGTGTGTGTGTGTGTTTCTACGTGAAAATTGTTGTGTCTCTCTCTCTCTCTCTCTCTCTGTGGGGAGAAGGGGTGGCTGAAGTGTTCCAGATTTCAGCGCTCAGGGGGCTCAGATATATCGCGACACGGATAAGATAAGAAGGAGCGCCGGTCATTCAGGATGTCTCGCCAGTGATAAGGTACGGCAAACAGCTGCACCATGCTTTTTTCCGCCATGATTTTTTTCTCTTCCCTTTTCGCTTCTTTCCGTCTTCTCCGAAAACTCGATTCTTCGATGTTTCTGAATCGTGCGTATAATGTAACTACACGATTTATCGTATACATAACAAATAATATTTACCGATAATATATCTATAGGGTGTACCAGAAATGTTCGTTTAGCAGTAAACGCTCGTAGCTTATTGCTGAACAAGAACACGAGCTCTATATGACTTTAACACAGTTGCAAAGATATATATGTATGGTATATATATGTATATGTGAAGAAAAATATTTTATCGTAACAAGTAATTACAGTGTAAACGTTAAACTCTCTGTATGAAATTTAATACGCGAGTGATGAACGCAATTATCGTAGACTAATTACGTTGAAAATGCAAACGCTATTTGGATTCTGTGGAAGCTCTGTAAAAATAATCATAATAACGTCTGGGATGTGTGGGTGTGCGTGCGATAATATTCTCTCATATTATCGTTTTCACGCGATAATTCATTTCGCACGTATTCCAACTCATCACACACAAGTAAATTAGTTGTATATTATCTCTAAATTATTTAAAATAATTCGTAACATTACCGATATACGATTTCTCAATAATTGCACATTTAAGAATATATATCGTTGTGGAATTTATTTTATTGGATGTTCCGGAAAACTTGATGCTTTTATTCCGCAAACTCATTTCTAACTCAATCAGTAAAATCAACATACGTGCCTGCAAAGTATAGATGTTTGATTGAACTTTTGATGAATTATCGCGTTTTAGAACAAAACCGCAAATTATATTTCAAGAAATTTTGCGGAAGGAAAAAATTGTTAGCAATTTTATTTTATTCAAATATATAACCGACCACGTAATTCTTATTTTATAATTGCGTGAATATAATTATATAATTTGATTACATAAAAATGTATCCAACTTGATCATTTCAAATTCTCACTTCGCGCCAATCTTTGCCAATTTGTCAGCGCTCTAATTTCGCTGCATTTTTGTTCGATCGATTTTAATTCAATTATATATGACCACTTCCGACAAAAAGTCTCTCTCTTTCTCTCGTATCAAATAATAGGATCGGTTTGAAAATTAATTCGACCGATTTTTCTTTCCGTCGTATTCCTGTCCCGCGATATCGAATGAGATCCTGAAAACCGGACGCGCTTGGAAGCGCAAAGTCCCGCGATTTATCGGAAACGAGAGATTATTTTCGCCGTTCTTCGCGCGGCAACGAAGAGGATGGTTCGGTTTGTGACCGGCTATTTGGATCGTGCGCCAGACGCCGGACGACGAACCTGCATCGCCGTATATATATATGTCTGTGTGCATGCGTGTGTGTTTTGAGTGCGAGCCAAAATTAAATCTTTCTCGCCGACGAAAGCGACCCCGGCGCACCATCATCGTTAGCCGTCGAATATGAACGCGTTGCCGAGTTCGGCGTCACCCTTAGAGATCGCTGCGACCTCCTGATTAAAAAATAAACCGTGACATTTTTTTTAGGGAAAAAAAGGCACAGAGAGAATTTTTTCTTACAATTTCAAGAAAAAGTATTAATATGTACATAGTAAAATTCATCGAACATATCTTATTGCGGTAGATTTAAATATTTTTTATAGTGATAAAAAAAAATATTAATCAGAGAAGCTTGTAAATTTCTTCAAATACCATATTGTCCCACAATTGCCATGATTTTCAGGATAAATTCTGAGAGAAAATTTTCTCTGTGTATCTATATAGCTAACGTACAAAGTTGATTAACACTACCTTCTCCGTGGTTTTACGAAATACGTACTTCATTAATTATTGATTCCGATAAGAACATCTTAAAACTGATGAAAAGTTGATCGAGCTTTCATTTTTAATTTATCCATTTTACGATGTCTCGAGAAAAGACGCGAGAACCATGCCTCGGATTTCTATTTTACATTTTGACGAAACATTAAAAAAAAAAAAAAAAAAAAAAAACAATGTTTCGCGGATGAGAATTCGAGAGGATCGAAGGAGCGCATCGGCTTGTTTAAATTTTTTACGCGCACGATTATTTGTCGCGTGACAAACTCCCTCTCTCTTTTCATTCTCGGCTCTGTGTGCGCCACTGTTTGAACCGAGTGATTGAATATTTGCGTCCCGCTGTCCTGCTCTCCTCGGTATCTGCGCGCGTGCGAAAACACGCCGCCGCCAACCGGCGAGAGTCGTCGCGCGGTCGCGAAGGATGGCTCCGGCCTCTCTCGTCATTTCGCCGGTTTTTTCTTCTTTTTTTTATGC